AAGTATTGTTGAAGTCGAGCTCGTGAGACGTGAATTATAGTTTGTTAGAGCGCGACTGTTGAAGTTGAGTGTCGGCAGGAGTATATAAGTCGGGTATATAAGTGTTTATTTTGTAATTGGTGTCGGCAGAAGTGATGTTTTTATTGATGTTTGTGTTTTGTTCTTTGTAATTTGTGCTGTTGCTTCTGTAATATTGTGATGTATATTCTGGTTTAAATTTCTTAATAATTACTGCATGCACTTGTTTCTAATTACAACAGTACATATTTCCATGTTCCCTTGGACATTGTGTATTATGATGGTCTTCGCCACAACCTTCAGAGCATGGGAAAGATTTACAGGCTGCGGCAATGTGTCCGTAGGGCTATTGGACGTTCAGTCTGTGATCTTTGATCGTTCTTTTGGTCAAGTGACCTGGAAGGATTAGGTACACCCCGGACTTCTACCTCCGTCCTTGACTGTCGGTTTCATTCTAGAATATCGTAGATGAAGACCACGTTAGTTCTCCGATATAAATCGGTCCAATAGCTAGGAAGATCAGTTATTACATCATGCAGCCATTGCATGTGCGCTACAGTTGTTCGTTCGCACACGCGAGCGGCCCCTTTCAGGCCTTGTCAATGAATGTACAATGTAATTTTTTTCTTCTTTTCCGGTAAACATTTTGCTTTTTTCGTTCGTTGTCAACATATAGTTTAATTCACACAAAGAGTTCCATAAATACCGATAGAAATACATACAGCACTGATCTTATTTTTACACATAAAAACCCTTTTAAAATAAAATTAACACTATATCTAGTTACTGATTTGCCCAGGAGTAGATGGCCATAGGTAACATAACGAATTTACTAGATTTAGTGGTGAGAGGTACTTAGCTATACTTTCATCATATATGATAAAGTTTTTCAGAGTTCTTAGTGATGTATTTTTGATAAAAAATTTCTGAAAGTAATCTACTGATCTATTTTGAAGTCTGACAATATGGGGATGTTTGCATAATTGTTTAGGAAGGTTGTGTTTGTGCATCTAGGAACTCTGTATGCTTTAGTGATTATTGAATTTTGGATTGTTTTTAACTTTTATATTTGTGATTTGGTTACATTTAACCATGCTGGGTAGGCATATTGTATCATGGGACATATGTATGTTTTATAGATTTTGAGTATGTTTTCAGTTGTTGTGCCTATGTTATTGTCAGTCAGACGTTGTACGTGATTAGCTCTTTGCCAAATTTTGTTTCTAATTTCGTTTACGTGTTAAGTTCAGCTTAGTATAGACTCGTAGGATAATTTTCATTAAATAATTTTAAGGAACCCACGAACGAGAGAACTCTGGTGCTGCAATATTATTTAAGGCACTTTTTAGGATTCGTGGTGAATATTTATTCCGATATTGATATTTAGTTTCTAAATGACGACATTTGATGTATTTAAGCTATATTATTTTCTCCTACAACCATCCTTCAAACCGCATGCCACTTGGTGGCTTAACAGTAAGCTTGAAGGGTTATGGCGCTAAAAATCGGGTTTCGATACCAACGGTGGGCATAGGACAAATAGCCCACTGTGTAGGTTAGCGCGTAACAACAAACAAACAAACTAAGCTACACATACAAAAATATTTTCTTATATCCAACTTTGACTTTTTCTATTCTATCAATCTTCTCTTAAAAATTTTCAATGTTGCAGCTTTTACCACACTTGAAGGCAAATGTTGCGTCAGCGAGGTCACATGACTAGTGTCACGCCACGTTTCTAGAACTATCCTGTACCTTGGCGAATGCTCTAGCATTCACTAGATATAGGGTAGTCTGGTATATAAAAGAGGGTGACAACGTGACGGGATAATAATGTGTGTGTAGACAGTGAGTAAATGATCTGCAGTGAGAAAGTATTATTGAGCACGTTCGTTGTTATAGTGTTTGTTTTAGCGCTATTGTTGAAGTTGAGTGTATCGGTAAAGTTATATTCGGAAAGAATAAACCAGTTTTATTAAGTAAGTTTCGTCGGAACGAATTTACGAAAAATCAATTAACAAACGGAGACGTAACACAAAGTATTCCATAGGATAACCGCCACAGCCCTTCTTTACAGAGATAAAATTTAGAAAGATTTCAACCTTTTCCTATACGATAACAACTCCAAACATGAAATCATCGTGGTAGGTCTTCAGTGTTGATACTAGTAAAGCTATAAAAAAAAGCATAGTACAAAAATACCATGAAATACAGTTTAAACGTATGTCCAAACTATTAACTAAAGACTTGTTAATAGTAGTTCTCTAATTTAACGATAGGAGATTAGAAAAAAAAAGAAATAAAATATAAAAATTTCATACAAGAGTGAAGTGTTAGGCTTACGTCAATATCACTTCTCTTGATTTCATGAATCTATATACGATAAGTTATTGAGGGTTATTATTATAGTATTCTACAAATTGATATTGTAAAAAGTGTAATCGAACGTTCTTGCAAGTATGATTAAACTTTTCTCTTTGAAACAGCAGAGAAAGGAAGGTGAAACTTCCGGTAGGACAGCAGGTAGTCAAAAAAGAGCTTCTGCTGCTCAACTAAGAATCACAAAAGGTACATGTAATTGTAATGGTGTAATTTATTTTGTAAATATATTATTATCTTTGTAAAGTACAACCAGCATATTCACAAAGTATTTATTTAGAAAGGGGAAGGCTTAAAAGTTTGAACATTAGTATTAGGCTGAAATTCTAGAATTCAACTTCTTATAATTAAACTTAAACTGTTAATGTTATTATTAAAGAAGAATTATTAAAATTTTAATTACAACCTACACAATTATAAGATGCTTAGAAGTTAGATTTAGAGGTTTTAGTAGTTATACAAACATAGTATAACTTATAAATATAAGTTAGATCACTCAGTTCAAGACCTGGTATTTCACCATTTTAAGTACTTCAAGTTCAACAAATACAACTTACAAGTAAGACTAAAATTCAAAAAAGACATATTTATCCTTAAGTTAAATTTAAATCCGTTGTCTGTTACAGTTCAGGATCTGTAACCTTGACTTGAGATATAGACTAAAACAACTGGGGTTGGATTTAGCGGTGTTAATTTATATTAGATTTTTATTTGGTTTGTGTTAGGATTGACAGTAGAATAAAATTTATGTCCAGTGGCTTTTAGTTTTACATTTAAATTGAACGTCTTTATTCACACTAGGTTTGAAGATCAAAGCACTAAAACTTTGAGATTCTAAGTGAGCTCTAAATACTTATGTTGGTGGAGAAAGAAAAGTTATAAATTCCTCTTGTTTTTTTTTTTCAGTATAATGTATGAAAATGCTTAATTGTAAATTTTTTTACTTTTATACTTTTTAAAATCAGTACTTCAATGTAAATTTAACTGTAAATTTACTGACAAAGTGGCATACAGTTTCTTACAGTGATGAAAAGTTGTGCCTGCAAAGGAATGTTTAAAGGAGCAACTCCTTGTAAGCATTTTTAGGAAAGTTGGAGGAAAAAATTAATGAAAAGAAGACATAACTTTTGAGGGAAAACAAGGGTCTTTTGGCTCTTTATGTCTGTAGATTTGGTGTATCTGGATGTTCACAAAGTATTTGGCAAGATGGCACATAAAAGGCTTGTAAAGAAAATGATGTAGGGGATAAGTTAGCTAATCAGATAGAAGATTGGCTGGATGGAAGAAAGCAGAGGGTTGTTATCAATGGAGTTCAGTCAAACTAGATTATTGTGGGGTACCTCAGAGCTCAGTCTTAGGACCTTTTTTTAAATTTACATCAATGACATAGATGAAAAAATTGTCAATAAATTACTTAAATTTACTGATGATATTAAGGTCTTGAGTGTTGCTAGCTGTGAGGAGGATGCTGCTACTTTACAAAAGGACTTGGATCATTTAGTGAGTTGGAAGAATAGATGGTAGGTGGGTTTTCATTATAATAAATGCAAGATAATTCATGTGAGTTATCATAATTTGAATTATTAGTATAATTTGGATGGGAATAACCTTAAAAATGTTATGAAAGAAAAGAATCTTGTTGTAGTGGTTGATCAATCTCTTAAGCCATTTGAGAAGAGTGCTGTTGATAGTGGTAGGTCAAGTAGGATTTTTGGTTGTATCTATAGAAATATTGAATACAAGTCTAAGGAGGTTATAATGTGAAGGTCACTGTTTAGGCCATATTTGGAGTATTGTGTTCAGTCTTGGACTCTGTACCTTAGGAAGGACATTGAATTGTTTGAAAGGGTTCAGAGCAGGACTACTAAAATGATGCCTGGGATGGAGGGGTTGCCATATGAGGATAGGTTAAGATCTTTGAAATTGTTTTCTCTTGAAAAAATAATAGTTTGAGAGGATTTGATTTGAGATGTATAAGGTTGTTAAGGGAATTGATAGTGTTGATGCATCAACATTTTTCATACTTAATGGGGAGAATGGTAGGACTAGGGGACACAAGTGTAGATTTTGGTAAGGTAAGAGTCATCTTCAGCTAAGACAGTTTTATTATTCTAACAGGGTGGATGGCCTGTGGAATGGGTTGACTTTGGATGTTGTGGAGACAATAAAGTGAGTTTATGATAAAATTTGTTAACTATATGAATAATAAGTGCTGGCTTTGAGGTTTTTTAGAATTTTATTTTGGTTATTTACTATTCCTGTTGCATACATCACAAAGAAAGGCAATCCATTCCTTTTTTTTTCTTCCAAAGCATAAACATGTGTTTTCTCATCCTTTTGTCTTTAGAGTTTAGCAGAAAGAAATCAGAGGCTTCTATCTTTGTGATTTCTTAAATAATTTTGTAAACTTCAATTTAATCATCTCTCATACTTCTTTTCTCAAGAGAAAGTAATTTGAAAAGGTTTTTTGTTATACAAAACTTGAAGATAGCTTTTTATACAAAAACATCTGTTAGTTGAGCTCTTGCACAGATCTTAAAATATAACATTGATAAATGGAAACATTGGCACATGTAGATATGTAGATCTTGAAAGTCTAGTTGTTCAAAACTTGAAAATAGTGTTGATAACTGGACCAATTGTTGGTTGAGATGTTGCCAAGGAAATATCTGCTGAAGATTTTCGCCAGACACTAATCATAGCAGAACTGTCTGGAAAATTATCTATAGGAAATAGTACAGCTTATAAAATGAGTCAGGTCAACTTAGGCCGGTAAGGCAACCACTGATTGGCATGCTTTAAGACAATCAGGAAATGTCACAGACCTACTGAAGGAAGTGTAGATTGTATAGGAATTCTTTTTGGCAGCAAAGGACAGGTTTATATGTTTTAATAAAGGTGGCTTCCAAAATATATAGAGATGAAAGGATGACAGACCATTTGCAATAATCTTAAACCCGTTATCCGTGTAGTTGTCAGCACAAGTCGGGTTCACTAGTAAATG